CACACAGAGACCCACAGACTCACCACACAGAGACCCACAGACTCACCACACAGAGACCCACAGACTCACCACACAGAGACCCACAGACTCACCACACAGAGACCCACAGACTCACCACACAGAGACCCACAGACTCACCACACAGAGACCCACAGACTCACCACACAGAGACCCACAGACTCACCACACAGAGACCCACAGACTCACCACACAGAGACCCACAGACTCACCACACAGAGACCCACAGACTCACCACACAGAGACCCACAGACTCACCACACAGAGACCCACAGACTCACCACACAGAGACCCACAGACTCACCACACAGAGACCCACAGACTCACCACACAGAGACCCACAGACTCACCACACAGAGACCCACAGACTCACCACACAGAGACCCACAGACTCACCACACACAGACACCCACAGACTCACCACACAGAGACCCACAGACTCACCACACAGAGACCCACAGACTCACCACACAGAGACCCACAGACTCACCACACAGAGACACACAGACTCACCACACAGAGACCCACAGACTCACCACACAGAGACCCACAGACTCACCACACAGAGACCCACAGACTCACCACACAGAGACCCACAGACTCACTCATAGAGACCCACAGACTCACCACACAGAGACCCACAGACTCACCACACAGAGACCCACAGACTCACCACACAGAGACCCACAGACTCATCACACAGAGACCCACAGACTCACCACACAGAGACCCACAGACTCACTCATAGAGACCCACAGACTCACCACACAGAGACCCACAGACTCACTCATAGAGACCCACAGTCTCACCACACAGAGACCCACAGACTCACTCATAGAGACCCACAGACTCACCACACAGAGACCCACAGACTCACCACATAGAGACCCACAGACTCACCACACAGAGACCCACAGACTCACTCATAGAGACCCACAGACTCACCACACAGAGACCCACAGACTCACCACACAGAGACCCACAGACTCACTCATAGAGACCCACAGACTCACCACACAGAGACCCACAGACTCACTCATAGAGACCCACAGACTCACCACACAGAGACCCACAGACTCATCACACAGAGACCCACAGACTCACTCATAGAGACCCACAGACTCACTCATAGAGACTCATAGACTCACAACATAGAGACCCACAGACTCACCACACAGAGACCCACAGACTCACTCATAGAGACCCACAGACTCACCACAAAGAGACCCACAGACTCACCACACAGAGACCCACAGACTCACCACACAGAGACCCACAGACTCACCACACAGAGACCCACAGACTCACACAGAGACCCACAGACTCACCACACAGAGACCCACAGACTCACACAGAGACCCACAGACTCACCACACAGAGACCCACAGACTCACCACACAAAGACCCATAGACTCACTCATAGAGACCCACAGACTCACCACACAGAGACCCACAGACTCACCACACAGAGACCCACAGACCCACCACACAGAGACCCACAGACTCACCACATAGAGACCCATAGACTCACCACACAAAGACCCACAGACTCACCACACAGAGACCCACAGACTCACCACACAGAGACCCACAGACTCACACAGAGACCCATAGACTCACACAGAGACCCATAGACTCACACAGAGACCCATAGACTCACACAGAGACCCATAGACTCACCACACAGAGACCCATAGACTCACCACACAGAGACCCACAGACTCACCACTACTACTACACAGAGACTCACAGACTCACCACACAGAGACCCATAGACTCACCACACGGAGACCCATAGACTCACCACACAGAAACCCACAGACTCACCACACAGAGACCCACAGACCCACAGACTCACCACACAGAGACCCACAGACTCACATAGAGACCCACAGACTCACCACACAGAGACCCACAGACTCACCACACAGAGACCCACAGACTCACCACACAGAGACCCACAGACTCACACACAGAGACCCACAGACTCACCACACAGAGACCCACAGACTCACCACACAGAGACCCACAGACTCACCACACAGAGACCCACAGACTCACCACACAGAGACCCACAGACTCACCACACAGAGACCCACAGACTCACCACACAGAGACCCATAGACTCACCACACAGAGACCCACAGACTCACCACACAGAGACCCACAGACTCACCACACAGAGACCCATAGACTCACCACCACACAGAGGCCCATAGACTCATCACACAGAGACCCACAGACTCACCACACAGAGACCCACAGACTCACCACACAGAGACCCACAGACTCACCACACAGAGACCCACAGACTCACCACACAGAGACCCACAGACTCACCACACAGAGACCCACAGACTCACCACACAGAGACCCACAGACTCACCACCACACAGAGACCCACAGACTCACCACACAGAGACCCACAAACTCACCACACAGAGACCCACAGACTCACCACACAGAGACCCACAAACTCACCACACAGAGACCCACAGACTCACCACACAGAGACCCATAGACTCACCACACAGAGACCCATAGACTCACCACACAAAGACTCACAGACTCACCACACAGAGACCCATAGACTCACCACACAATAATAATTCAGCCGAGTAAAAATAATTCACATCCACCCAGAGGTCTTGGAGATATCTCCCTGTATGCGTCTGTATTTTGGGGTAACCATAGAAAACACGGTTCGATCTGGACCAATTCTTTTCTAGAATGTATCTGCACCCAATCGTGAGTCAGCCTACCGAATATAAAACGCATCCAACCAAGGATCTGGGAAATATTTCTATTAAATGGGGTCATGATTACTCTGCAGAACAGATTTCGATCTGGAACAACATTTTCACGACCTTTCTGTACCCAAGGCTAAGTCGGCCGCGTTGAAATAACTCGCATCCACCCGGCGGGGGTCTAGGAGATATCTCCACGTCCGGCGAATGTATCGTGAGGTAGCTCTGGAGAACACGGTTCGATCTGGACCGAAATCTCCAGGACTTATCTGCGCCCAATCGCCATTCCGCCTACCGAGTTTGCTCCACATCCGCCCGGGGGTCTAGGAGATATCTCCACGTCCGGCGAATGTATCGTGAGGTAGCTCTGGAGAACACGGTTCGATCTGGACCGAAATCTCCTGGACTTATCTGCGCCCAATCGCCATTCCGCCTACCGAGTTTGCTCCACATCCGCCCGGGGGTCTAGGAGATACCTCCACGTCCGGCGAATGTATCGTGAGGTAGCTCTGGAGAACACGGTTCGATCTGGACCGAAATCTCCAGGACTTATCTGCGCCCAATCGCCATTCCGCCTACCGAGTTTGCTCCACATCCGCCCGGGGGTCTGGGAGATACGTGGGTTTTTATGAGGCATCGAGACGCCAATTTCGGTGAGGCTGAACCACCTTGTCACTGCCCCCTGCAGAGCTTCGTTGAGGATGGAGTCCGCGGAGATGGCAGGGGCCAGAAGACTCCTCCACACGAGGTAGCAACGTCACCGCCGCCATCGCTATGACAACTACCACGAGTTGTAGCAGTTAAAGTGGTCGTGCCACTAGTTACACTGCCGGTATATTGATATTAAATATAGAGACACTATAACTGGCTAAGGGTCTCTCTCTCTCTCTGTCTCTCTGTCTCTCTGTCTGTGTCGTTCTCCGGCTCTCTCAGTCGACGCTGGCATCCTTCAACAACGACGCCTTTGACAGAGAGGACGATGGCTGTGCCGCAGGGCGCCAGGTGCGATCGCCATCATCCGGTGACGCCGGACGGAGGAGTGGCAGCCTCTCCTCTCCTCCACACACCAGAACCAGTCCACGGGACCTCCCGTACGCCACAGAGGTCCTGGCGGTAGTTGACCAGCTCCGGACCGAGGAGTGGCAGCCTCTCCTCTCCTCCACACACGCCACAACCAGTCCACGGGACCTCCCGTACGCCACAGAGGTCCTGGCGGTAGTTGACCAGCTCCGGACCGAGGAGTGGCAGCCTCTCCTCACACCACAAACAGTCCACGGGACCTCCCGTACACCACAGAGGTCCCAGAGGTAGTTGACCAGCTCCGGACCGAGGAGTGGCAGCCTCTCCTCACGCCACAACCAGTCCACGGGACCTCCCGTACAGCACAGAGGTCACGGAGGTAGTTGTCCAGCTCCTGACCGAGGAGTGGCAGCCTCTCCTCCACACACACCACAACCAGTCCACGGGACCTCCCGTACACCACAGAGGTCACGGTGGTAGTTGACCAGCTCCCGACGGAGGAGTGGCAGCCTCTCCTCACACCACAAACAGTCCACCGGACCTCCCGTATACCACAGAGATCACGGAGGTAGTTGACCAGCTCCCGACAGAGGAGTGGCAGCCTCTCCTCATGCCACAACCAGTCCACGGGACCTCCCGTACAGCACAGAGGTCACGGTGGTAGTTGACCAGCTCCCGACAGAGGAGTGGCAGCCTCTCCTCATGCCACAACCAGTCCACGGGACCTCCCGTACAGCACAGAGGTCACGGTGGTAGTTGACCAGCTCCTGACCGAGGAGTGGCAGCCTCTCCTCCACACACACCACAACCAGTCCACGGGACCTCCCGTACAGCACAGAGGTCCCAGCGGTAGTTGACCAGCTCCCGACGGAGGAGTGGCAGCCTCTCCTCTCCTCCACACACGCCACAACCAATCCACGGAACCTCCCGTACACCACAGAGGTCACGGTGGTAGTTGACCAGCTCCCGACGGAGGAGTGGCAGCCTCTCCTCTCCTCCACACACCAGAACCAGTCCACCGGACCTCCCGTACAGCGCAGAGGTCCCAGCGGTAGTTGACCAGCTCCCGACGGAGGAGTGGCAGCCTCTCCACACGCCACAACCAGTCCACGGGACCTCCCGTACAGCACAGAGGTCACGGAGGTAGTTGACCAGCTCCTGACCGAGGAGTGGCAGCCTCTCCTCTCCTCTCCACACACACCACAACCAGTCCACGGGACCTCCCGTACAGCACAGAGGTCACGGAGGTAGTTGTCCAGCTCCCGACGGAGGAGTGGCAGCCTCTCCTCATGCCACAACCAGTCCATCGAACCTCCCGTATACCACAGAGATCACGGAGGTAGTTGTCCAGCTCCCGACGGAGGAGTGGCAGCCTCTCCTCTCCTCCACACACGCCACAACCAGTCCACGGGACCTCCCGTACAGCACAGAGGTCACGGAGGTAGTTGTCCAGCTCCTGACCGAGGAGTGGCAGCCTCTCCACACGCCACAACCACTCCACGGGACCTCCCGTACAGCACAGAGGTCCCGGTGGTAGTTGTCCAGCTCCCGACGGAGGAGTGGCAGCCTCTCCTCAGCTGCGTTACCACGGGCTGTGCGATGGTATTTCAGTGCTAACCCAAGCACAATTTCCCCCGCACAGGGATCGATCCTACAGAGCGAGCGTGGGAAGACTCCCAAATCCTACGGCTCCCTCGGCCAATCGGCAGCCGGGGGGAGTGACACCGCGGCCGGAAGCTGCGGTGCTGGCGGCGCCATCTTGGGTGGGGTGGGCGGCGCCATCTTGGGTGGGGGAGGCGGGGCAGGAAGTGATGTCACAACGGAAGTCGGTGATGGCTGTGGCGGTGGTGGCGGTGGTGGTGGTGGCGGTGGTGGTGGTGATGGGGTTATGGTGATGGTTGGCCCTCAGGGTAAAGTGATGGGAGGTGATGGGGCGATGGTGATGGGTGGTGATGGGATGGTGATGGGAGGTGATGGGGCGATGGTGATGGGTGGTGATGGGGCGATGGTGATGGGTGGTGATGGGGCGATGATGGGTGGTGATGGTAAAGTGATGGGTGGTGATGGGATGGTGATGGGTGGTGATGGGATGGTGATGGGTGGTGATGGATTGGTGATGGGTGGTGATGGATTGGTGATGGGTGGTGATGGGGTGGTGATGGGTGGTGATGGATTGGTGATGGGAGGTGATGGATTGGTGATGGGTGGTGATGGGATGGTGATGGGAGGTGATGGGGTGATGGGTGGTGATGGGGCGATGATGGGTGGTGATGGATTGGTGATGGGTGGTGATGGGGCGATGATGGT